TGTTAATAAAATAAATCTTAACAATTTCTTTTCTAACGAACAAATAAATTAAAAGAAAAATAAATTCAAAATTGTATTTCAATAAACGCACATAGATACTTAAATAGATACAGAATTGGTAAAGCACATCTTATACTAACTTTTCCTACACGGTGAAAATTTAACAGAGGGAATCCAACTCAACGACAAGAGTAAGAGATATAGGTATACGAGATTCAGGGCTTCAACAGTATCTGAATCTAGGTCGCAAGGGGTATAACACACTTAGCTTTAACAGTCACGTGTGTCTATACCATAGTGTCGGAAGCGAAAGGTAGCTTTAACAGTAACCTAACGTCTCCGGCCCCTGGACGCTTTAACAGTGAACAGGGAAGGGCGTGTTATCTGCGACCTATAACGGAACACACGTAGCTTTAATAGTCACGTGTGTCTGTGTTATATCGTGTCGGTTGTCTGCGGTGGTAGTATTTGCAACAACATATATCTCCAACTCAGTTCATCATCGACTTAATCTGGTTTCAGTCAGCTTGTTGCAGTTCAGGTGTTAGGAGCAATCAGAAGTGACTGGGTCCCACCAAATAAATTTCTTGTGTGGACCTTGGCGACGGCTGAGTTCAACCCCATTACAATTGTTCAGAATACATCGTAAACCAAAACCACATATGTATTTTAATTTCATTATATGTAAAACTGTAAATTATTTGCTATATGGCAACCCTGCCAAGCCTTCGTGTATATTACTTAAAATAAAGTAGTACTTCGTTGATAGTCAAATACCTAAAGCGGTCATGTTTAAAATCGTTGTCTTTTTTTAACGTTTGTGGTTGTTAAGATTAGCCCGTGTGCTACCAAGAAATCGTTTGTGCGCGCATTAATAACTTTATTAGACTCAATCGTACATTTTTTGGCGCCCAACGTGGAGCTTGATTTGAACAAGTGTAAAAATAATATTTGTCGCTGCATTCACTACGATTGAGTGCATAATTTATTAAAACAACAATTAGTGTTAAAAACCTTGTGACGAACTGCTATTACATATAAATTAGGTTTTCTCGTTCCCCAGTCCAGCAGAAGGAGTGGAGTGTTTATTATTTTCATATAATTATGATTGGAGATGATGTTGCAATCATTCACAAGTTTAACTTAATGTTATATTAACTACTTAACTACTAAAGCTTAATATTCTTAAACTTAACTACTAAAGTTTAATATTCTTAAACTTAATTAAGCTTAAGCTTAATATTCGATTCTCGGACAATTTCAAAATATTCGAGTTCCATAACTCTTCCCTTAATTACATTCTTTTTGGAGACAAAAGAAGCTAATCATAACTATGATAATACAATTTAATGATAATATTTGTTTAATATATGAATTATTTGTTTAATATACGAATTAAAAATTACTTAGATCAATTCATTACATTGTTTTTGGAGATAAAAGAAGCTAATCATAACTATCACAACTATGTATAATATATGAATAAAATATTAATAAGATCAATTAATTACATTATCTTTTTGAGATAGAAGCAGCTTATCATAATTATGATAATAAAATTTAATGATAATATCATATATTAAATGAATTATTTGTTGAATATACGAATTAAATATTACTTAGATCAAATAATTACATTATTTTTTTTGAGATAGAAGAAGCTAATCATATATTTTGCAAGATGCTCATTTTAGCTTTTAAATCAATGATACACCAGAAAGAGCCTTACAGTGAATTGCTCAGATTCTGTACCTATGGTCATATAGTATCTTTAATTTTATCTTTTCTTTAATTTAATTTAATTATATTTTATTCTTTAATCGATTATTTATTTTTTAGATTGTCTTTATGGACCACTCTTCCTTTAATTAGAACAGTTGTTCAGTTGTTCCTAAATCCTTTTCTACTTTTTGTTATGAATATAAAGAGGTTAGCTTATTACCTAATCTTCTATTCGTTGTTGAGTCGCCTTTAGATATCAACGCGCGTTGACAAACACACGAAGTCTTCTCTCTCCATTACACATTAAATTTACCAACAATTTTTAAAACACACCCCCAAAAAACAATACAAACATTTTTCACTCATTAGTATGAAAGCAAACGCTGAAGTGTAAACAGTAAGTACCTATGCGTATTTTTTAAGAAAAATAATTTTTTTTTTATTTGAAGTTCAAAATTGATCGCGTAAATTTTTAAACGTATAAAATAGGTTTTGATAATTAATATTTTTTATAGTATAAAATAGTTATTATGGAGCGAAAAATATTGACACTAGTTGTGATAAGAGAACTTCTAATTGAAGAGGAGGAAACTGAAAAACAAAAAAGGAAACGAATATGGGTGAAAAATTGGCTTTAGAAAAGACAAAAACTGAGTCACACTAATTTACTACATGAATTGCAAACAACTTCACCCAATGATTATAGAAACTTTTTAAGAATGGATCATTGTGCATATGAAGAATTGTTAGCAAAAGTAACGCCGTACATTCAACGGCAAGATACACATATGAGGAAGGCAATTTCACCGCATGAAAGATTATCGACAACTTTACGTTTTTTGGCAACAGGCCAAAGTTTTGAAGATATGAAATTTCGTGCGTACATTTCTCCAAGTAGCATCAGCAAAATTGTTATTGAGACATGCGATGCTATAATAAAGGTTTTGAAGGAATACATTTCTGTAAGTAAAAAACACAAACTCAGCAGAGCCAAAGTAACTCTAGTTGTTTTTAATTACAGTTGTCAAAAAATGAAGAGGAATGGAAAATTACGTCTGATGAATTCAGCAGCCTCTGGAATTTTCCACATTGTTTAGGAGCATTGGATGGAAAGCATGTAAACATAATTAAACCAGCCGCGTGTGGTTCTTATTATTACTTTAAAAAATCACACAGTATTGTCCTAATGGCATTGGTAAATGCAAAATATGAATTTTTAATGATTGACGTTGGATGTAATGGCAGAGTTTCTGACGGTGGGGTGTTTTCTAACACATTATTTCATAAAAGGTTGGAAGATGGTCAGCTACAAATACCGCCAAAGAGGCTAATAACCAGTTTCGATACAGAGCTACCGTATGTATTTGTTGCAGATGATGCGTTTCCTCTTAGACAAAATATAATGAAACCATACAGCAGCAGTGGATTGACAGCAGAACAGGATTACTTTAACAAAAGACTATCTCGTGCACGTAGAGTTGTAGAGAATGCTTTTGGTATAATATCCTCAAGATTTCGAATACTGCTGACTACAATTCATCTATCCCCGGAAAAGTCCACAAAAATTGTGATGACAATCTGCTACTTGCATAATTTTTTAAGAAAAAATTATGCATATTCGTACTCGTTATCTCTACCTGTAGATAATCCAAACGCAACAAACATCCCTTTAGCAAATCTGCAGCCGAGTAAAAATCAGAATGCAGCGAATATTGCAAAGGACACCAGGAACAATTTTTGTGATTATTTTAATACAAGCGGAAAAATATAAATGAAACAATTAATACTTATTTTTGTTATATTGTCTATTTTATTACTTATGTTTTTACTACGTTTTTTATAACATATTCATTGTTTATTTTGGTTTTTTTTAATAATTAAGTATAACTTTAAGTATAAAGAAAATCTATTTATGTATCTTTTAAAATATTATGTCTAAATGAAAAATGAAATTAAATATTTAAATAAATTTAAAATAAACTGAATCTACTTTTAATAAAATTTTTTTTTAAAGTTTTATAAATATGAAAAGTAATTTAAGAAAATTCCTCATCTATCACGATATCTTCAATGCTTCCGTACTGCTGTTGTTCTTCTACACCAACATATGGCAATGGGTGAACAGGAGATATAGCTGGAATATAGATGTTTGATGTTGATGCATGGCTTTGTGAATTGTAAAAAAAAGGAGGTGAAGGACCATTACTTGAAGAAGACGCATAGTTTGGCGAAAATGATTGTGACAAGTGATGTGTCGTTCCGCGAGCTGATATACCCTCTACAACTTTGTAAGAGTATAAATCCAAATTTTCTAAAGTTGCCTGGTAGAGTACTTCATTTATCATTTTATTTGCATATATTTGTTGGTTGGAATTCAACTTTCGAAATTGTGTTGCCCAACCGATACTTAGATTAGTCGCATCGTCTTGCTGTTGGCTTGTTTTTAAGCTCTCTATTGCGTCATTTAACAATGTAGTCCTTTCACTATCTGTACGTATTCGACGTTTGTGAGCCGGCTGTTCCTAAAATAGTAGAAAACAAAATAGTTAATATTTTTGATTTCTATTTACTTTTTAAAAGCATATTTTTATTTGCTAAAGCCATAAACACACACCTCTATCACACTTCCGTTTAACGGTTCTTCCATTGACGTCACTCCTGTAATTTCTGACTCTTGATCTTTAAGAAATCCTAAATCGTCGAAATGCCAGAGGGATGACGTATATACATCACTAACACCTGCACCAGACCTCTCGCTTTGTACAATTTTCTTCAATTCTCTCCGATAACCACTTCGCAAAGTATTAATTTTTTTTTTTACCATTTCAATGTTCGCGTCAGGGTAAATTTCTTTTAATTTCTCCACTAAAACTTTGTAGCTTTCAGCTTTTAAACTTCTATTATGATAATCATTGTCTTTAATTTTCCACAACGAAAGTAAGCTTTCGTAAATGCCAATAAATTCTTTCCAGAATTCTTCATTTACAAATACCATTTTTATAAAAACTTCTTTATTTATTAAAACTTTTTAAGGACACATTTAAATTTAAGAATGATTTCTATACTCGCGCACGTTAAATGTCTTTACCTTTAAATTTAAATACTAAATCAAAAACTCATATTTCTTTGGTTAAATAGTAAAAAATATAAACCAGTCATTTGAGATTTTAGTCAATATTACTACCTGTAAAATTTTATAAATAATAAATTTTTCGCAGGTAAACAATTCAAATAACATTTAAAATATAATATTCTTTGTAATTTAATGTTTGGTTATTTTTATATTTTTGGTAACTCATGGTTATTAATATTTTAATTTTTTTCAATAACTTGTTTTGGAAATTAAGAAATTTTACCTAGGTAGAAAATACAAATATTTAAAATAAAATTCATTCATATTTGCAAAGCATCGCATGCTAACGACAAATCATGCGTGCATTTAAACGATGTTTACGCTTCCATTTCTCAAAATAAATAAAATTTTGCATGCCGACCAAATCCGACTGTATATGCAAAAACACGATCGTGGTTGAAGAAATATCAAAATTTTTTGATTTTCGTCAACACATTTCTTACGTGCGGTGCAGACTATCATACTGGTATGTCATACGAGAGAGAAAAACGTCGTATGACACACAGGTATGATAGTCTGCCACCTTTACCAACGTGTTGGCGTGCTCACCAAAATTTTTGTGAACAGGTCTCGCATACGCGTTGTGTATGATAGTCTGTCACCCCTAACGATTCATACGTCATACAAGAGCATTTTTGCCTTGCAAATTTATTGTGAGCAGGTGATATATGTAAAATTTTAATATGAATTTAATATGTTTTTTTATTATTTTATTATTATTGTATTTATTATTATTATATTTATTATTATTAAAATTACACTTATAAATTTGTGTTAAATATTTAATTGTATTTTAGTTAAAAAAAATAAATTTTTACATAAAATTCTTATAAAAAATTAAAATACAATTAAATATTTTATATAATATATTATATATTTTATTTAATTTATTAAATATTTTATTTTCTTTTATTTTAATTTATAAACGATGATTATAAGTAAAATTTTTTTTAAAAAAACATCTAAATATAAACATAATTAAATTTATAAAAAAACATATTGAAAATTGGTCGTAATAACAATTAATTAATAACCTAAATTTAAGATATAATACTTTGTATTCTAAATATGCTTTTCTTTGTTAAAACTTGTTATTAAAATAAAAGAATTTTAAATGTTAATAACCTTTAACTAACAAAAATATGGAAATGATCAAATTTCTTGAAAAACAATGAAGATATTTACATTCTTATGTATATATATATATACATTATTTGTATGATCTATTTATGAAAAATTTCTTAAGAAACTTTACAGGTAGTGAATGAAATTAACTACGGTCCTTTACTGATCTTTTCATTTTAACTACTGTGCTTAATGACCAATAAACCTAAAAAAAATATGAATATGGATGCAGATAAAG